CTCATGGGGTTGGAAGAGACTGATTCATTTTTTTAACCAATTAAGATATGTCTTAATTTTTTTTCTGTTGATTTTGTTCCATTCAACATATATGTTATATGTAATTAACTCAAGAGTGTGTTTTAACATCATTTCAGTTATGTCTTAGTCTCATCATTTATCATTTATTGATTTTTTTGTTTTATAAAACCATGGTGAAATAAATTTTGTGAAATAATGCAATTCACAAGAGTTTTATAAAACCATGGCATTTTGTGAAATAATGCAATTCACAAGAAATTCTGTATTTCTTTGCTTATTTGTTACACCTTCGTTGTCAAACTATGCTTTTATTAACAATAAAATATAAAGTAAAAAAATGATGATGAGATCTTTAAATTCTTTAAGCAAACCATTTTATTTTATACTGAAATAAAAAGACATGATTAAATAAAACCAATTAATATGTGCAAAAAAACCCCAAGTAAATAAATAGATTAATAAAAATAGACGGCAAACTTTATACAATTTTTTTTTTTTTTTTTTTTACATTCTCTTTTATAAGAACTGATATTTGTTTTGTAAGACACATGGAATCCAACTTGAAACAGCGCACTCTTGTGAGCAGAGCAGGTGACACATCATTTCCCACAATGCTGCTGCCGCACCAGCCCGGAAGTAGGACGTTTATTGACAATATGGCGTTGAAACTGGGCTTGGATTTAGAGAAAATTGTGATTTGACAGCGGGGCTTCGATTTCAAACCATTTTCACCTTGGACGTGCAACAAGCAGATATCTTTGAATGAAGGAAGCTGCGAATCCGCGGGACGGTGTCAGTGAGCCGAGGAAACGTCCAGAGCGCCAGAGCCGTCATGTCGTTTTTTAAGAGGAAAGGTAAGGTACAAACTCACTGTGAGGGCTGCAACGTCAACACTAGTCACCATGACCATCATGCTCAAGTGTGTGGCTGCTTGTGAAGTGACCATGGCGATGTATGTGTCTGCGTAGAAATGTGTATTATTGGTATTCCCTCTACTGCTGCCCACTGCAGGGACACGGTTAGCTTAGCAGTGGCCTCTCTATCCTCTCTGCTTGTTCTCACCCAGTGTTAGCCCAGGTGCTAAACAGCTTTGTCAACATTAGAACTGCAAAATACACATCCCTGTCATTGCACCGGCCTTTAATTGACGTTTAAACAGTTTAAAACCTCTCGTGTCATCCAACGAAAAGTGTCGTAAAATGTACAGTGCTAGCCGGCGTAGCTTCAGTTTGAGCACTACTTAAAATGTCAGGAGCAAAACGTCTGACGACGGTCATTAAAGCGAGTGGTTATTATTTCCAGAACGAGGAGTTTAAGGAGGTTTTAATATTACATTTTAGCCAGCAGAAATCTAGCTACTGTTGGTAAACGTGGTCACATTTTTATTGTTTGGATTGGCAGATGACTGTCCGCAGAAATATAATTATTAGTGTTGTAATCTGGAAATGTTACTTAATAATCCAAGTCAGACATTCACAACATATTATACATCATAGGAAGAAACAACAACAGCATACAATACTGGCAGTGGTTAGCGTTTGCAGCTAACGACAGAGTCCATAATCCTGTACTGAACTGGTCAAAATCACACAGGCTATGCTGTGATTCCTCTTGCATGCATTGAAGTCTTCATTCCAGTTTGAATTTGTGATGTTCTGAATTTAGCCAAAATACGAGTGGGTTGTGAACTAAGCGTATTTGCTGTTCCGTATTTGTTTCCTCACTTTGTCATTACATAATTGTACACAATAATGTGTTCTCATCTTTCCAGCGATTCCGTCTCGTCCGTTGTACCACAGGTCCATCTTAAGGGTGTTTTCTTTCAGTGTTTTGAATGACAAGTGTTTTCTAGTTAGAACACTGAACCGAATCATTTTTCCCCACAGCCAAAGGCAAAGAACCAGACCGAGTGTCAGATACTAAAGTCAGTAGAGGTGAGTTGACTTGCCTAATGGAGCTCGTCAGTTAGCCACAACAATGTTTTTTCATCAGTTTGATTATATAATATATATATATATTTGTTTTTGTTTAATTACATAATCAGTTTGATTATATAATATATATATAAAATCCTACTAACTTTCAAAAAAAAAAAAGGATTTCAATATCACTTTGTGTCTGAGAAGGTGGCTCAACCACCCTGAGGTGCTCCCCGGAGAGTTTGCTTCTAAAGCCTGAACAAAAAAAACAAAAAAAAAAACTCTTTTCATGGAGTTGCTGTTTAAAAGTCTTACATAATTTTGCCACTGATTTTTGTTGTGCTGTTATCTAATCTCTTCTCCCAGCTCCAGTCAGTCAATCTTCTCCATTGGGAGTACGAAACCATCTCGCCATCCAAGAAGCATCTGGGCCCAGCCATGTGGCCATCAACGCCATATCCGCTAACATGGACTCCTTTGCCCGCGGTCGCACGGCCATTCTCAAGAAACAGCCCAGCCACATGGAGGCGGCACATTTTGGAGATTTGGGTACGGAGACAGAAGTTATTTTGTTTCAAAGAAACAATATAGCCAAAAAATGTTAAACATGTAAACAAGAACTAATACCATGAATTACCATGAGCCTGTACTGTTTCTGTTCATTTTAAAAAGTCCTATTTATTTACAGTGGTCTCGCAGTCCCTGTCATGTCAAGATGCACAGAGAGGGCATTTTTAATGCTTCTCATGGTTTTAGTGTCTGCTTATTGGCAGCTACAGCTATTTCACGATTGACAGCCCCTGTAATTATTAGTTGACCACAGTGAACTACGTGATATGTCCCCATAAATACTTGTATGATACAAAAAAAAAGCCAATGTTCTGGACTAAAATCCAGACGGATTACTCTGAAAATGCCACCTAATAACTGAAAACCCTGCTTTTAAAAAGCCAATGTTATGGACTAAAATCCAGACAGATTACTCTGAAAATACCACCTAATAACTGAAAACCCTGCTTTTATTTTCAACATGCTGTCATTTTTTTTTTTTTTTTTGGAGCAGCGACCCTAACCATGACAAAGTTAGACTGGACTTAAGGAACACTCTTCAGCTGTCACTGGGTTGCATTACCCCAGATGACACTGACTTCCCACTGACTCGGCTTTATGTTCAGGCACTTGGTTTCATTTGTTTTTGTCAGTTGAATCATTTTATTTGCCCCACCGTGAATGTCTGAAATATTATCTTTTATAAAAACTGGTACCAGACCAGAACCAGACACCTGTAGTGGCTCTTTCTGACAGTAAGGAATTAGTGAGACACCTGTGGTGGCTCTTTCTGACAGTAAGGAATTAGATGGTAGGAAAATGAATAATCCGCAGATCTCAAAGTTTATACCATGTAAAGTCTATATAAGCCCCCAAAATATGTTTTTCAACTAAATCCTTTTCTAACAGACACGTGGTCACAAGAGTTTTTGAACTCTTTATTCATCTTCGGACACTAGATGTCATGTTGCGTACGTGTTTCTGAGTATTGTTGAGCAATGCCTTTCACAGGAACTGCACGAGCCAGTTGTCCATAGAATGGCTCGGGTGAGTCAGATGTGAGGTGGAGGAACCTGTGCTGCAGCCTGGGCAACAAAGTCTGACGAAAAATGTACTGAGTGCCAGTGATAAGTCACAGTAGCGGAAGGAAAGGAACGACAGTGATAGTGGAGAGTCGTTGCATGGGAGCTGAGCTGATTTTAGCATCGGCATATTGGCAGCTCCAGCTATTTCAGATAGCACCCAGACCGACGGCCCCCTGTATATATCAGTTGACTAGCACTAAGAAGTGCATTTCCGTAAATATTTTCATTAATAGTGTTTAGAGTAGCTGGTTGTTGAAGTTAATCTGCAGGCATCTCACTTGCACTTACGTGTAACATTTTCCCAATAACTTGAGATAAATATGTGTTGTTTTTTTTAATCTAACTCACTGTACTGCAAACAGACAATTAGATGATGTCATGTCATGTCATGTACTAGGATTGTTGTTCACATCAATGAGATCATGTTCTGTCAAAGGTGCATTTGACACCAGCCGTGCGTTCCTAAGGAAAAAAAATTATTGACATAAATCAGTATGATCCAAATAGTCATAACAAAGATGACAGTGAATGTACGACGTACCCTGATTTAGACATGACACCTATGTCTAAATCACCTCGTCTTTCTTTGTTTCCTTGTTAGCCAGGCTGCTGTAAAAAACATTACGGTGCGAGACGGCAGCATCTGTAACTTAACATGTGCACACGAACAGACATTGATACTGAAAAGCAAAAATAAGTTTGTTGGTTGTATCACTGCCAACAAACAATGGTAACACATTTGACCTTTAGGAAATATGATGTGGCAGTGACGCTGTAATGCTCTGACACTGTTTTCCGTCTAAGTGGAAGACGTATTATTTGCAAAGGCACTCCCATGCATCCTTTAATTTCTAGGGCGTGTGTCCGGGTAATGGATGTTATCTGTACAGATGGCGTGATCATAAGATATGAGAGAGCGCAACGTGGAGCGTTGAAACACAGTTTTGATCTGAAGGGTCGTCCAGGCCGTCTTCAGGCAGACGGAGGGCATACATGCTAACATTGAATAGTTTAAATTCATATTACGCAAGTTCCTCTGTCTCAACTCAATTTTTAGCTGAACACAGTAAATGTGTTGTGGAGCTTTGATTCTGCTGATTCAGCTGTGCTTCATTCCATGTCAGTAAAAAAAAAAAAAGTTTGGTCACTTTTTTAATGAATACATTGGATTTCCTATTCCTCTCCCTATACTAGGGACAACTAAGTAAAAGTTAAATTAAACCAAATTGTCGGGTTAAATTTAAGTGCGTTTGTTTGCCTTCATCTGTGACTGATGCAGGATAGATGCAAAGACTGTCCCCTATTACACCCCTCCTAACCGTGAATTCGATTTACTAAGAATAAAACTCCACGTCAGCAGAGTTTTTAAGTTAATATACGCAATTTTACATTTCTGTATTT